CTCGTACTGACTTTAAATCTATAAGCCTTCAAGGCGAGAGCGACCGCCCCTAGACTTCTTACACTTAGAGCGCCTCTCTTACAACTTTTCGGTAACACTAGGAGGAGCATGAATCGATTTCGTCGAGTGTGACGTCGTCCAGTAGCAGTAGTAGAGGGCGGTGGTACTAGTAGCAGCTTCAGCAGGTAGCAGTAGCAGCAGCAGCAGGAGCAGGAGCAGGTTCGTCATCACTGCCGGCCATATTTATGACTTTCTCTTTGCTTGCAGTTGTCGGTGTAGCCGTGCTCATTGGATTGTACAGCCTGCATAGTCATCCTTGTGTTGGTGGTGATCGTCAACGAGACATAGGCTAGTAGCTAGATTCAAACAGATATCTCGGTATTGCGTAGGTATGCCCTGCAGCTAGCAGCTGAATTTTCCCGCTCACAAGCAGCGGCCCATGATGCTGGCGTCCGGAATGCTTTGATGACTGCAGCTGTTCGCCACATGTGCGCATCGCCCAACAGGTTGACGACAGCATCCTGTATTGTACATGCCAAAACTTCGTCGAAGCAAAATGCTGTGCTTTTCGGTCGTGGGTGGTCAGCTTTCAGGCAGGGGATTGAAAAAATGGGTCCAGAGTTTGAGTTGCATGAAGAATAGCAGCTTGCTTCCCATGTTGAAGATTGCAGAGGGCTTGCTTTGGCATGCCTGCAGGCCACGCAGCAGCAGCTCATGACAAGTGCCTCAAAGCTTTTCAGCATAATGCAGTTTAACGGAGCTTCATGCTTCTTCAGATTGAACTTGTGGTGTAAGAGCATGGCTATATGTCCTGGCATAGCTGCTTGACCTGGCGATGGAACACCAGAGAATGAGCAGGGAAGCAATCGAGTGAGTGAGTGAGTGAGTGAGTGAGTGTCGACTTGCACTTACGGTGCAGCCTACCGCCCACGTCCCTCTCAACTTCTCAGGGGGGCTCCGAAAAACGTCATTGCCCCCCTCCGTCCCAGAGTTCAAGTGGGGGAACTAGTTAATGCAGAAAAGTCGCAAGTTCGCTAACCCCTGGAATAATCCCCACAAGAGTGCCATAATAGTCAACAAAATCAACAACCACACCATCGCCATCACCCCACGTTACTGTCTGCAAAGACTTGGAACCAATGTCATGGCAGCAGCAATTGTACATAGATTCCAACCTCGGTCTCCATAACGAAGGCCGTAACTGTTTTTGATGCACTCAGAGTCCTTGCAACTCCAAGGAAGCAATCGAAACGTTGTTTGCTTGCGCTGGCAACTCCGGCTCGAACTAGAGAGGCAGATACGGTACCTGGTCCTTCCCAGTCCTAGCCAGTAGTCCAATGCATGATATCAAGTATATATATATATAGAGAGAGAGAGAGTTTTTACACATACATATATATGTATATATACATACACACACACACATATATATATATATATACACACACACACACATATATATATATATATATATTTATATTTATATATGATTGCCAAAGTGACACCGCCCAAACCTCGACAGGCACGCACAATGTACCGGACAGCTTTGAGCGGACAGCGGTTAGAAGCAGGCCAGCCTTGGCAAGGCATTCGTGATCCGCGCATTCGGAAAGCGCGGCGTATGGATCAAGAAGGCCAACTCGCCCTGCATCTACGTCTACTTGGGGGTCCCGGCTCCTTTAAGGGATCTATAAGAGGATCTTATAGGGCTCTATAAGGGGTCCTATAAAGGGTCATAGTTGGAGATTCATGGGTAGTTATAAGTAGGGTTATAAGTAGGGCAACTATAACTATAACCCATATTAGGGGACTTATAACCCCGCTTATAACTACCCATGAACCTCCAAGTAGGTACGGTTGATTCCACAAGCAGCTCAGCCCTGCAAGCAACAGACCACAAAAGATGAATATTGATCTCTGTGTATCGTAGTGGATGTCCCATGACACTCAGTTTGGTCCCTCATATGCTTGTAGCTTGTGAAAAGAAACGCGATCTGCGGGAGCAAATCGTGGGATTGCCTACGGTATCAAACAAGATGGGCCACTAGATCTCTCAAGCTCAATAACTCTGCTGCCCAATTAGCTTGAGTCCGGCAAAGCATTCGGACGAACAGTCGGTGCCACCACATCAAGCTCTGATCATGTTATAGCGCCCAAATCACCACGTCTAAAGACGAACACTGCAAGCACAGCACATGTCCGATAAACCCCAGGCAGCAATGCAAACCCTTTGAGGTGTGCAGGGAATTTGGGGCACCGGGAAAAGTGGTCGGAGTCCACGAGCTGTGATGAAAAGCGCAGTTGTTCGTGTTGTTCTTGTTCTTCGTAATTGTTTTGAACCCAGGGGTGGGAGGACAAGGGGGACATCTCAAAGAGGAGCTCATGAAGACCTCACTGTCCGTAAGACAACAGGCAGCTTCAAGAAGATGGCGTCTTCTGCTTCGGAGGAGCGATGGCAGCACTCGTTCAAAAAGGAGATCTTGTGGTATATCGTGGGCCATCTTGGGAGTACCTCAAGGCCCTGAAATCTCTAACACATTCTAACACCCTGAACTATGAGAATGACAGCCCCTCAGGCCAGGTTACTGTACGGGGCTCAGTTCTAGCACATCCTGGCATGTCATCCGGTCATGTTGGCTCAAGCTTCTGTCGTGGGTTCTTCAGCAGGTCCGCAGCTTGTACTTGCATTGACTGGGTGCTTGCGTCCGTGTCCCATTGGAAAAACTTGTCCGTACACGAGCAGGGGTCGCTAACCGCCCTAAAGCACTCGAATTCAAGCGTGAAGCCTCTCCTGTTCGTCACACCCATGCAACCTTGCCACTAGCAGATGTGCTATCTGTGCACTTGCAAGCTGCTGCACAGAGCACCTCTACATAGCATCTCATTGAAACCCGTGAGGGGTCATGAAACGGGGGCCTCTAAGCTGAATCCGAGCAGCTCTGAGAATTGCAGGAGCTAGCTATCACCGAGGAAATGCTGTTTCCCTCCCACATGCATTTCGCCCTCTCTTGCCATTTAGCAGCAGATGTTTGGTGGGCCTGGTTTGTGTTGAAGTTGATCACAGGTTGCACACTTCAGGGCTTCATGAGAGCACCAGATTCCACACATGGCTTTCAGGATAGTGTTTTGGGAGCTAATGATCTTCGCTGTCTAGGTCGCATAGTTGGGGCAAGTTTCCTGGCGCTTCATCCAATTCATCTAATCAGCAGTGTCCGGTCCGCAGTATGCAACACAAGTGAGTGCCGGCTTGAGGCGCGGAAGACTTCTTCTACGCGCCAGCCTGAGCTGCATGGAAAGCTTGGCTTTATAGGACTCTGTACATCGGTTTTCACGCCCGAGTAGCCTCGGATTGATCGTCTAAAGTCGCCCTAAGCGCACACATCCAACGTGATTGTGTGGATGCTAGTTGGACCTTCGATGCTTACTTGCCTGTCCAGGCTTGTCCCAGTTCTGAGAGTCGAAGCGCTTCCAAAACAAGCTCCAAAGCCCGAAGCTCCAAGGAGGAGGATGGGGAGGACGCGCTGGAGCAGCACAGATGTGGCAGCCAGGTCCATGATTTGTGCTTGGCCCGGGCTGTGAGAATATGGTCAGGATATGTTGGATGGCAGATGCCGTTCGCGTACTTCGGCACGATGTTCGGGTGAATTAATGGTGTGTAGACCAGAGAAAAATCACGTGCGAATTCCTGCGGTTCCCACGGGTCTTGAAATTTTCCGAACTTGGCAACGGTTCTCCTGCCTCAGTGCCGCGCGAATTTGTGGGTGCACATCGCCTTCCTTCCATATTTTCGGGCGTGTTCACCGCCCGAAGCCGTGCTCCCTCCGTCGAATGTCGGTGAAATCTAGGGAGCCTCCTGAACTATAGTCATGGCTCTTGGATATGTAGGCCCACTGTACGGCATCGAGAGCTAGGTGGTGGCAGTCTATAAGTATGATGACATGCCTGCGTTGCTTGTGAAGTTCATGCCCGTGCGCCTGTACAACGGGCGCCCCGAGTACGAATAATTTGTGTGGCGGGCCCTACTTGGACCTTAGAGAGACTTCTTTGAGGCAAAAATGAGCACGGACTGTGCCGGGAGTCCCGGAAGGGTCCGCCGAGGCTGAAAGCACGCGACCGTAGTCGAAAATCTCCACCGCGCCACAGCGAAAGAAGCAGAACAGCAGTGTGAGCCTGCAGAGCGTGCTTTTTGCGGTCACTACTTGGAGGTTCATGGGTAGTCATAAGTGGGGTTATAAGTCCCCCAATAGGGTTATAATTAAATTATAGTTACCCTACTTATAACTACCCATGAACCTCCAAGTATAACAGTATACAGCCACAGGCTCTGTTTGCAGCTAACACGGCGTTACGACACCGTTGGGGGCTTATTGTTGGTGCCGAATGCTGCTATTTCCCAACCTACTCACAGCATCGCAGCTCGATTGTCATGTGACCCCGCCGAAGGTATCCTGCGGTTTCCGGGGGTGAAAAGCTACTGATTGCATGTGCTGGAGGGTATCTGATGTATGCCGACTGTCCCGACTTACTAGATAGCGAAACAAGAGCTGTTTTGCATCACTCGGGAGGATGAGACTGCGGAGCAGCCGATGGTGCAAGATGTGCGTGAAGAAGCAGTATCTGGGCATGAAGTGAGCAGGAATGCCGAGCGTTTGTAACGGCTGTACTAAACTGTTTTCGTTGAGATTTGTAGTCCATTTATAAGGAGCTTACTGCCCAGAACCCGGATAGGGGTGGTGTGCTAATTCGTGCCATAAAAATAGAGAGGCAGGTCAAGGTAGCTGGTTTCAGACAGAAGTTCTTGGAAAATGTCGCAGCGGTACAAGCCCTCCTGTGCTCCAGTGGGTCGGGTTTTCATGCAGCCCTGTGGTTGCGAGTGTCTTGAGGGAATTTCTGGCAGGATGTGCAGTTTCTAAGCTCCTCGGATATATGAAGGCCTGATAGGATGCAAAATGACCCCGAGCCTCCTGTTGTTGTTCGTGGTGCTGCAGGACCGATTGGTCATGCCTGTCCCTGCAGTCGAAGAGGAGGACGAAAGCCCTTTGGTCAGAAACATCGTTGCGAGCGAGATGACGGGAGCACTAGGTTTTGTCAGCTTTTAAGCGGGGATGCCATTTTCATGGGCTTCGTGGTTTTTGTCCTGGCCTGAGGTCATCGCACGGATTCTGGCTCGACTACACACCATGTCGACAGCAATGAGATCGGCCCGCCACATGAAGATCGTAGGACAGCCGAAGACCACTTCAAAGTGCCAGCGGCTGCATTTCCGAACTACGACTTACACGATGTTGAGTGCCAATCACTCTCACCGTCGGAGGCTATCAGCCCAAAACCAGAGAAGCCGGCTGCAGGAGAAGCGGCAAACGAGATTCACGATCTTGTTCCAATCTACCGGGCTGCTTCATTTTGCTTACCGCCGGGGTCATGTACGACCCCAGGTGCCGAGTCAGAAGACTCAAGTTTGGAGGAAACGGCTACTGCGACACAGTCGCAGCTGACATCTGGCGAATCGGACACCTCGAGTGCAACGGTTGAGGGCTTTGACTGTGGCCATTTCGAGACGACACCAGACAGTCAGCCTGATGACTCCTGCATTGCTGAATCCACGGACGAAGTGAAATGCCTGCAAGCCTCTGGTGAGGTGTCCTTTTCTGACGAGCCTAGTTTCGAGGAGACGACAACCACAACGCAGTCAACTGGCGAATCGGACGCCTCGAGTGCAGCGATTGAGGACTTTAGCCATGTCGGGGCGACACCAGACAGTCAGGCTGATGACTCAAGCTTCGATGACTCTGCAGACGACGTGAAGTGCTTGCAAGGCGAGACAGAGGCACCTCCGTCTCATCAGGTGGGCGACGAGATGCCGGCAGCATCTTGTATGAAATGGCTAATTAAGTTGTTCTTGCTGCTGTCAAGATCACTTCTACTTGGCACCTCCGGCTTAGCACCCTGACACCATCGACATTCTGACGCCTTCTGTATCCGCTGTACCTGACTCTGCCGTTTCTTCACCGCAACTTATCACATGTCTTTGCTTCCGAGAGCGGGAGAAGCTCCAACAACTTGTCAAAGCCATGTGTGCCTTCTTTTCCTGCTTTTAGAAGTGCCCGTTGGAACAAATGTGTTCTAAATTAGTTCCCGAAGCTTTTCAAGCATTTATGAAACTGTTCTCCCAGCAAATCCTGACACTAATTACGAGTTTGGATTGAGGCGAAATGGTAAGCAGCTGCAACATGGTTTTTTGTTTTCGAGGGGGGATGGTGGTTTGGGACTGCAATGTTTAAGGGTGTCCGCGTGTAGCCAACGCACGTGCAGCTATAACGACAAAATTCAGCAACTGCAGAACCTGAGCACATAAGGAACTCACAAATTATGGCTACTCACGCCGCTACGTGTTTGTGTAGACAGCCACAGACACACCATATTTTCAAAAGCCAACCAGTACGGTGAGATTGGCATAAGTTGTTAAAATACGAGATTTACGGTGATATATCTATCATAACCATACGTGAATGAGTGTGTAGGCATGTCTGTATACGTGGATGTGTATGTAGAAGTTTATGACAGTTTATGCAAATGCATAGTACATGTGTACGTATTTCAGGTGCATTCTGTAAATATGTGCGTGTATTTGTGTGCCGATGTATGTTTAGGTGTATATGTGCATGCGCATATGCGTGTATGCTTTTATGAGTGTATGTGTATATGTAGGTAGGTAGGTAGGTAGGTAGGTAGGTAGGTAGGTAGGTAGGTAGGTAGGTAGGTAGGTAGGTATGCATGTATATGAAACGCAAAGTGCATAGGGACGGGTCGAGCAGTGTTTGTGTTTGTAATGATGTGTCCCGTATCCCGAGAAGTCCGAAACAGACATCCAGGCAACTCCACGACTCGCGGCCGAAGCTTGGGCTCAGATTTCGGCGCCTGAGGGCTTTGGGCTATTCGGGTTTGTGCAGATAGGTTTTCGGGCTTGGGGCTTGTAGGGTTTAGGGTTTGGGCTTCTACAGTAGGGTCGACGGATGTTTAGGGTGTAGGGTTCAGGGTTTATGGATTAGTAGTCCACGGCACAGTCGGTCGACGCCTCGGTGCCTGGCATATGCATCGACCCAGGTCAAAATTAGGGGTTAGGGGTTAGGGATTTCGTTGTGGGCCAGGGTTTAGTGTTTTTGGGTGGGGAGTTCTACGTCCGTCCATCTATCTGTTGAGCTGCCCATCATTGAATGCGACCCTTCTCACCCATACATAATTGAGTAGAAGAGGAGCCAGGTGTTTATCATTTCTGCCATTGACATGGGGCATAAGCAGATGCAAGTCCTCAATCGTCTCGTTCTTGAAATCCTGTGCCGAGGCGGTGCCCGCAAGGTCTCCAGCAGATCCAATCGGTTCAGGCTTTCTACGAGCTGCCTCTTTGCCGAAGCAGGTTTCAAGCATCAGTGGCACTGTAAGTGGACAACAGTCGGACTGTTGTCTAGGCCGGTTCATGAGGTATCGTGAGTGCAAACCGCAAACTTTCCCCTGACTTGTAGCAGACTCGGCCAGAATGCCCTTCGTTGCAAGGCTATGTCTCGGTTACGCTCGAAGCATTTCTCCCCGAGGTCCCCTGAAGAAACAATCCCTCAGAAACCTAAAGCGCTCAGCCATTAAACCCCTTTCCTGAGGGGCCGTAGGATACCTATGAATAGTGCTCAGTAAGGGAGGGGGGCTCATTAATCAGTGTTCTACTTATAGTCTCCTTTGAAGTTCCTTTTTGGGGTTACCTAAACCGATCCTAAAATACAGAACCTGTATATAATTTGTTATAATACCAAAGCAGGAATTGGAATGGAGACTAGAACCCCCAACGATATACACCCTAAACCATATACGATCCTGTTTCGTACATGCCCTTAACCATATACCCTATAGACTCCTTGTAGATCCTTTTTTAAAGCATCACCGTCCAGGCTGCATCTACTGCTCCTGGGGGATCCCCGAGGTCTCGGCGGAGGCAGAGCAGGATCCCAGGCCCGGGCGGCCGCTAAGGGCTTCCCTTAGGGGCCTAACAAGGAACCCCCGAAATAGTATAGGTAATTATTAAAAAATTACCTATACTATTTCGGGGGTTCCTTATGATACATGTAGCAGAATATATACCCCAAAAGCGCTAGTCTAACTATTATATTACAGTAGAAGCCCAAAAGTTGGAAGCCCAGCCTCAATCCTAAGAGTAGTGTATAGGGAATCCCAGCACTCTATTTGGGGGCCGTCGACAGATTCTCCGCGCGGTCATCGAATGGCGTAGAAGCCTTAGTAAGTTGGGAGCCGGTGTAAATTCGGAGGTCGCACTCGGAAGTGCTTAGAGCGAGTTCATATACGCGCGCTTGGGCCTGCAGATGTTTCGCCGCTCCGAAATTCGCTGGGCATGAGTCCAGACCGTAATTGCGCTTTACTCGGGCCGTGCAGTCCCAGAAGCTTGTTTTTCCATGTCAGAGCTGCTGGAATCCCCGAAGCAACAAATTCCAAGATTTTCATAGCTCGTAAGGACCTGCACTCAGGGTATGTGTGTCCAGAACTGCACATGTAGGCTCTTGCAGTTCACAATTTGGGTCTGCCAGATGTGCACAGGACCCGCAAGATCGCAGTCGGCCTCTTGCCTCCGATCCTGATACACGCATGTTCTAGGTTTAGTGCCGGCAGTGTATTCACCACGTGATATCGTGCGCCCGAGCTCAGCAAGTTTCTCGCAATTAACCTTCGTTCCGTCCTAATTTTGAACATAGAATCCAAGCCAAGCTATGCATGAAAGTATGCGGAGATGTGAGGTGTAACAGAATAGCTGAAGTTCTGCTTTTGTGTGGGTGCGGGGTATAGAGCTGCAGCGTACACGAGCGGTCTTTGGCGATGGTGGCTCAGTGTTTTTTCCGTTCCACTAATTCTCATGCAGGGAGCTTTCCACTTCATGTTTTCTGATTTAGGATTCGGGACGTTCCTTTTCCTGAGTCCCAGCTTACAGTGTTTGCCTATGATCCAATCTTTCAGCTGAACGCTGCGAGAAGTGTTCTGCTGTCACTTCCAGTATTTGAGTGTGGCATGAGGCGTGACGACAGCTTGTCAAATGAATTTTCTGCTGCACAAGCCTCCATTTTGGTTTAAGGGGGTGACAGAATTGCACTTGATCCTCAAATTCGTGCTTCACCTGCTGGCCTCTGCTCCCATCCGCCATGGCAGCCCAGTTCTCCACCCTGGCACACCGTGTTCAGCAAGTCGTGGCCAAGATTCCAACCGAGGGTTCCACTCTGGCTTTTACCAATGTGGATCGAAAAGACGACCATCTTCTGGGAGTTCGGAACACTTTTGTTGACTTGAGTGATGAACCTCCACTGCAGCAATGGTACAAGGACATCAGAGGCATACGCTCATGCCCAGCCAGCGAGCATGGTGATGATGACCGGAATGCATGCGGTGGCGCAGATGCTGACGAAGACGAAGCCTGGCAGACACCAGAGCCATCTCCTCGTTTTTGCAATGAGGAGGAGAAGCCTCAGCCCGCAGCATCAGCATGCAATGCGGCAAAGCCAGGAGAGCCCAGGACTCCGCTGAAGAGTGGTGCAAGCCCCTACCGACCAATTCCTACGGCAAGACCGTCTTGTAGCACGACATACTATGCCATGCCACCGCCCGTAAATACCACAGGTCGGTTCTTCGCGGCAGAGTACCACCGCCGAGTGCAAGCCTCCGGGCGGCTCCACTCGTTTCAGGACCAGCCGACATTTTTGGCAGAGAAGGCCACGAGGCCTTGCCAGGTGGGCCCAGGTCTGGGTTCGGAAGCGCTTCCAAGCATTGGGTCTGGTGCTCATGCCACAGGTGAATGTCGGCCTTGTGCCTTCTTCCACAAAAACCGTTGCGTGACAGGCCGAACTTGCCTTTTCTGCCACCTCTGTGATTCCGGTGAGAGGAAGCGCCGACTGCGCCATCAGAAAGCCAAGCATGCAAAAGCGTGAAGCTTGTGGGACTCAAGGTGCTTTGTCCCGAACTCACACAGGGACTTTTTAAATGATGTGGTTGCTTTGCAAGACTGAGGCTAGCCATGTCGTTGAGGTCAACCGTCAGGTGCACAGCATCATTTTCGACGAGTGACCTCAGGTTGGCATATTTTTGAGCTCGCTTGCCGATTCACTCACCGGTGTTCCCGGCATGTCGTGGCCCAGGCGCTAGTTGCCTGCAACACCATGCGTGCTCTTGAACTGCTGCCACAATTTGGTTCCATCCTCTTTGTGCTGTGTGTAGTTGCTAACCTGCTGTCATGAAGATCGTCGGCTTCTGTGTTGTTTTAGCTATGGTAACCCTTGAGAGAAGAGTTCCGATTACCAGCTGCGGCAGCAAGCGCTCCGGCACAAAGGTTGTGATTCTTCCAGGTGGTGGCCGTCGTCCGAAGGACTCGGCCACTGCAAAACGCAGCGCTGCATACCAACGTCATAGCTCTCGTCGGTCAACAAGCATTGCTACATGCTGCACTGCCCAGTCAATTTGTTGTTGACGTGTTCACGTTCACGTGTTGTTGTGTGAGTGTGTGAGTGTGCGTGCGTGCTTTTTTCGTGGTGGAACCCTAAGAAAACAGTAGTACGTTATTTTCAGAAGGGTCCTATTCAGCCTGTTGGGCCTGACTCTAGTAAAACTCCATACAAGAGACACAGGGGCGGCGAACTTGAGCTTTCGAAGGTAAGGGTGAAGTCTTTTCGTCATATCGAGCAGAAAAGTGTGCTTCACTACACCCAAAGCGAAATTCACAAGGCCCAACAAGTAGCTGACCTGGCTAAAGGGTAAAATCTCACAGCCGCGCGTCAAACAGAATTCAAAAAGCGCAATGCATTTGACTGAACATCACACAGCCAGAAACCCTTAAACCGCATGTCACTGTAGCTGGGCCGCGCCTGAACCCGTGCCTCGAGTCGAAACCCTGAGCCGGACTCACCACCAAGGAGTCGCGCAGCCGTCGGCCCGCCTTGACGGATAGATGCTACCGAAGTGGGAAGGTCCAACAGCTTCACCGGAAGGGTTTTGTAGAAATTCAGTTGTGGGTCTACATTGTGTCCCTTGCCTAACTTATCGTAATCTTTCCTCATGTGATAACCCCTGTTGCTCCACATATTCAAGACAAGCCTTAAACACTGAACGCAGCAGTGCTTTGCTGAAGGGCAGCGGCGCCTAAGTTTTCCAGACGGAACGAATCTTTACAACTTTAGTGGTTGCCTTGTCGGCCTGATGCATAGGTTACAATGTAGCCCAGAGCACGCACGTGGTCAAAGCTACATGCATACACGTACCCCCCTCACACACACAAATGAATTTGTATGCATGGGTACATGCATACACTTTGTACATATATATATATATAGATGTACACACACACACATATATATATATATATATGTATATATATATATACGCGCATATTATACAATGTGAATGTGCATGTGTGTTAACGAACGAGTGCATAAGCAGGTAACTAGACGAATGCACAAACACAGGATTTAGCTGTAAACCTTAAACGCAGAGGTGTCTTATACTGATTTTTGCTCCTTTTTCCCGAAGCCCCCAAGGCCTTGAATGCTGAAAGCCTAAACCCAGGACCCCAAACCCCAAATCCTTGCCGTAGTCCGGGGAGCCACAGAAGCCAGTGCAAAGCCTCGTGGGATGGCACAGAGAGGAACAGCGGGTGCGCGAGCGGCTGGCCATCACACCGAAGGACTTCCAGGGTTTAGGGGTTAAGGGATTCAGGGCTTAGTGCATTGCAGTCTTTGTTCAAAAAAAAGGGTTGCCGGAGCTTTGGATGAGCCATGTGGATGTCTTCCTAGGAAGCAAGAGGGGTCCTCATAGTCGGGATCTTATATACGGTTTAGGGTTTTTGTGAGGGCCCTTTTTTTCTGAAACTCCCATGTAAGTCCTGTTAGGTGTTGCGGGCTTGTCTTATTAGGCCTGAGGTGGGGTGTCCCATTTCCACGTGTTTTGTTGCGATGGGGCGGAGTCTGGTTAAGGGTCTACCCATTAGGCCCCATAGTAGTTCCTTTTTGGGACTACCTTATAGGATTCTATATATGAACCCCAAAAAGGAACTACTTTAGGGCCTATGGGTAGGCGCAGCAAGCTATAGATGCTGGACTGGATTGTATTACTTTTGAGCAGGAGCAGGTGAAATGCCCACGGTATCGGGTCTCCCCAAAATTCCCAACTCTCAGAAAGCCCAGGCATTGAACTGCCTTGCATGCTGCGCTTTAGAGGCCCTTGCGTAGATCCTTCCTCCGAAGCTTTAGGATGAAGTCGTTTAGGACGGACTGTAGGGTTGCTCCTGGTCCGTAAACTCCGAGCCCCGGCCCACCGAACCGTTTTGGTCAGGATTTGCTGAGTTTCGACCACAGCCCGGCTTTCGCCGATCTTGGGATGAAAGCCCGCGAGTACGCCAAGGACTCTGTGCTAACTAACATGTAGGGGTGGGCTGAAGAATGACGCCAGGTGTTTTCTCACGGAACTCAGCCACTTTCTTCGCGAAGACTCCTTCAAAGTCTTATGCTTACTCCGAAGAAGAGTAATTAGGCGCAAGAAAGCCTCAAGAACTAGTAATAGCAACCGAAGTAAGAGTAAACTAGCAATAAGAACTGCATGTTATGATACTGGCAGTAAACGCGGCACTCACAAGTCGAACAGTCCAAAGAAAAGGCCTGCTGGTTTCACTGTGTCGGGGCTGTTCACAAGTCAGGAGAACAAGCCCTCGATACACGATAAGAGGCCTGAATGATTAGTAGCATGTTCCTGTATAGTTCTTCATGTCACTACAAATAGGATACATCCCAAAGCTCCGCTCTAGTTATTCAATTCAGGGCCCTATGTTTCAAAATTTGGGAGGTGCGAAAGGTTCATCCATGGAGGTTCTAGGGATCGGCACATGTTTCTTCGAATGTTTCTGCACGCACGGATCAGTGTCCACCTCTCCTCGGTTTGGCTGAGTACTTGTTGTTGAATTTACGCCTTGAGCGCTTGAGCCATGGTTCGCTTGGAGGTTCATGGATAGTTATATGTGGGGCTATAGTTATAATTATAGTTACCCAACTTATAACCCTACTTATAGCTACCCATGAACCTCCAAGCATGGCTGACTTCGTGAATTGTCCTTATCTGTAGGTGCTTATTGGCTTTCGGTTCTACCTCAGCTGTCTCACCTGCTGCACGTTTTCTTCGTTTACTCGAAACTGTTTCATGGCTGTTAATCTTCTTTTCGTCAGATGAGATCCTGACCGAATCCATCGAGTCCACAGAGTCCAAAGCCAGAAGATCTTCAGGAGGTGCATGCAAGCCATGTGGTGGACATGGAGCCCGCGGACACACTGACACTTGATTGCATCATCTCGGTAAACCAGGTTGCTTTTTTGGGAGCACAAGACTTGCCACAAAGCTGCTAGGGTGGGGTCGGGTCTCTAGACGGGAAGCCTGACATGAGCCTTGAAGCATTGAACATCTAGTTCTTAGTCGCACCTACAGTCCTACAGTGAAACATGAAAGCAGTATCTCGTTTGGACTCAGTGCCGGAAGGTCGGATCCAGGATACCCAAAAAAACATGTGCTTTTAGATTTGGATGTCGTTTCCTTGGCCATCCACCAGTGATCCGACTTCGGCAAGATGCGCAGGGCTTTTCCTGAGTGCCGCCACGTCTCGCTGATGGCCATGCTTCCAGCCTACGCCATGAAGGACAAGCCCTGAACCTTTCTTTCCTTTAGGGTTAAAGTAGGGTTTAGGGTAACCTCTTTTTGCATCAGAGCCTTAGCCAATTATCCGCACCTTCCGAGAATGCTCTGAAGAAGCGGGACCAGAGTGCAGGAGGTGAATCTTACGCTTGAGAGCACGTACGTGCGCGAAAAGATATGGAATCCTAAGCTCTGCGGGTGGAGCATCTTCGGGTTTAGATTTATGTGGGTTTGAGCAGAAGCGGAGGTGTTGAATTCAGCACGCTTGAATCTAAAAAGAACTTGTTGCCGTGCTGACCTTGCCGCCAGTGTTTTCCCGAATTTTCGCGTCACAGAGCAGGGAACCCGACAGTACCTACGTGGTGATGAAATCCGTCACTTTGGGGAGCTGCTTCCGGAAGTGTCAGAGCTGCGGCAATTAGAAGAGCCTTTGAATCCTCTGCTCCGCAAGACCTTGTGCCCTGAACTCCCTGAACCTTCGCTTCCGATGCAGGAGCGGCGGCTGCCACCCCCCAAGGGGGTAAAAAGTGGCAGTGAAGTTTCCTACAATCGAGGCTCATCAGTTCTTGGGAGAACAGAAATGCTGTGCACTGCTCATATTGCCGGAGAGGTGTCCGGCAAGTTCGGCCGACATGACGACATGTGGTCATTCACCCAGGACTCGTGCGTAATCTCCTGGCCCTCAGTCCTTCGTTTTTGCGACCTTGTCTTCTTCCAAGGGGGTCAGATGAAGCCTGAACCTCGAGCCCTGTCTGCGCAGGTGGCTGGAATCCAACTCGCAGTGAGAAGTTTCTGACCTCAGCGAGGTCAGCTAGAAACACAGATGGAGGCACATGGATATGTCTTGTTTCTTAACTTAGTGAGATCTAAGACTCGGAAGGAGCTTCACTTCACACTTTCGAGTTTCTTACTGATATTGTTCCGGTGCCGGGCAGGTCCTGCGAGAGCAGTGCCAGCTTGCACGCAATCATGTGAGATGCGAGTGTGTCGCCCGCATCAGACTTGTACGCCAGCGCGTGTTTCAGCTTCACTGTCTCACTGTGAGCTCGGCTTCATCAGGCACCTGTTCACACGTAACCCTCAAGACTCCACCCCTATAATACCTATAAGCCCTGTACAGGCTTGGTCCTGAACTGCTTTAATGCGGCAGACGTTTGTGCAAGCAAAGGCCCTGAATAGATAGGTCCCGAATCACAAGATCCTCGTAAGTTTTAGGATGCCAAGCCGTAGAAGCTGCGACTGCGTTATCTGTGTGGAGAGGCCCAGCCCCCGGCACGAAAGCCTCGCCGCTGCGGCTGCCGCCTATTTCCCCGGCACGGGGTGCCGCACCCAGTGAGTGTCTAGTCGCTTTGGACTTCAGAAATCTTTGAGATCAGAAACTGAAGGCCAACCGCCAACCTAAAACATCCTGCATTGCAGACATTGGTAGGTGTTTGTGGAGGTGGCAAATGCAAAGACAAGAGGGCAGAGAACTATGCAGGAATTAAAGGGAGATGGACGGCGGGTGGGAGCAGACATCAAACGCACAGTCTAGCCTGCATGGAGACTGCGTAGATCGCACATGACGTAATTGCTTGGAGCCCCTGTTGCGCTCGGAATTCCTTCCGGCAAGTAGCAGTCAGTGTTTTTGAGCTTTACGGTTGTATTGCTGCCCTACACCCTAAACTCAGTCAGGGCATGTTGGGCAAGCAGCCTAATGTCCAGGACGCATGCCTGTGACCACTATCCCTGGACCCGCAAGTCCAGGCACTTTGCGCCGCGTTTGTGGCTTCCTTTTCAAGCTTTACGGTTTCATGTAGAACCCGTTCGAGTACACATTCACGGTTGGTTTTGTTCGCTTTGGCTTTGTCTCGTGCATCCAAGCGTGATTAGGCTTGGTCTGGGCGTTCTCTTGATTCCTATATTCAGTGATTACTCTTACTGTGCTGTTGGCATTGCTCCATCAAGCCATGACGACTCACACTTCCATACTTCCAGGTCCCTACAGTACATCCGAATCGCGACTTCTTTTTATGTTTTATGATTATGTCATCAGTATCTGTTACAAAAAAACAATAATAACAATTATGATTGTCGGCAGTAGTAGTAGCAGTAGTAGTAGTAGTAGCAGTAGTAGTAGTAGTAGTAGTAGTAGTAGTAGTAGTAGTTAGTAGTTTAGTAGTAGTCCTATTTTCCACCATTACCATGGTTACCGTTATGCTTAACGCGTTTTTCTCAGATTTTCTGCACGGAATCAGTTTTTAATCATCAGGATTATCGTGGTCATCATATGCGAACACAGGCTCTGGGATCCTCGGTCTTCTGTCGGTGCGACGGCGCCCTGTCTGATCTCTGCGAGGTCCCAGGTTTTCGGGGCATTAAATATAGAAGCTTACTTACATAAGTTCCTTAGGGTTCCTATCATCAGTACACTATAGTATTGCCTAAAACCTTATTCTTCTAAATGTTAAGCCTGTTATATAACCCCCCCGGTTATACAAAAGGAATGGCATGCCCTACTAGTTGGGAAAACCGGTGAAACCATTCCAACCTTGTGTGCATGTTCATAGAGATCAGCTGAGGAGGCCAAGCTTTCCGCTCGGAGCCTTAAGCCGTTCTAGGCATTTCGGATGGATCACGGTCAGGATCACGGAAGGATACATGAATATTCCATCTTCTTGAGCCTGGACATCAACTATAACTCCCAAGTTCCGATCACTTGGTCTTCCCGCCTCCACTCAAGCGCATACTCCATGCAAGATGTTGTGCTTGAGGTTGGGCTTTAAGCTTCAGGTTTCGCCAGAACCTCGAATCCAAAGCTCCGGCCGAGATTCCCCCAGAACCCATGACAAGGTTTAGGGCTAGGGTCGGTCTAAGCAGGATGCAAAAGGTCTAGGGCTACGCTTTAGGGTTTAGGGCAATCCCTTACCCAGGAGTCGCTCAACACTGCGAGAGATGCGCTGACTTCGAAGGTGGGTGATAGTAGCTGGTGCTTTCTCTGGGGTGGGAGGGCCGGTGGATGAATGGACGGTAGCCGTTTGTTTGTTGGCGACTGGCATGTAGGATTTTGCTTAATGCACGAGCTAGAGAGCCATTCTTCATGCCCCTTCGATAAGAATAGGAGGGGAGGGTTGCTGTGAATGCGAGCCGTACACCGTGCAGTATGTCAGTATGCTAGCTGTTGATGTTCTTCCACGCAGGAGCAACAAACAACCATGCCGAGTGACGAGGACCAGGTAGGTTTCTGTAAGAGTTTCACACGGAATTCAGATCACGTAGGACGTAGAAAAAGGCCCACGAGTCAAAATGGATATGAGACATCTGCTTGTTTGGGCGTTTCATGTGCTGCCTTAATGAGATCCACAGGATCAGTCGCAGATGGATTGCAGAGATGCCCAGTTGGCTGTAGACAAGGCTCTTCAGCTTAGTAAGATGCCCGAAGGTTGCCATGTTGATCGTCGGCCTTGCATGCAATTTAGCAGCATGTAGGAGAATCCAAGCAGCTGACCGAGCTGCCTGGAATTGCAACTCTTCGGAGTTTCCCTGTCCCCAGTGCTCAAGTCGTAAAGTTACGGCCCGCATTAAACATGAAGGTTTGAGCGTACGGCTGAATGGCAGGCTAGGCTTGTAAGCAGTTGCTTTGTGTTGGGAGTGCTGCTTGCGGCCACGTGCAAGTGGGGATTTCCGACGGGAGAGTTGTGTGGACATCCCGTTGAAGTCTAATTCAATGCTTAGTTTGTAGCAACAGATGTGTTGGTGAAGCCCCTGCCTGCGAAGCAGTAGGAGTGCATATTGTCGCTGCATGGACAGAATTCACTCCACCTACAGGCCCCATAGTAGTTCCTTTTTGGGATTACCAATAGAATCCTAAGTATAAGCCACAAAAAGGAACTACTATGGGGCCTATGGGCAGATTGTCAGGCGAGAAAAGCAAACAAGCTATTGGGTCTCAGGGCTTACGTTTAGGGCTTGCGGTTGCGGGCCGAGGGTTTGGGGTGGGGTAGCGGTTTAGTTTTGCCTTGGTGCTTGGTCAATGGTTGAATGGGATTTTGCTCAGGCCGGACATGCAGGACGATTCCCAGTTTTGATCGGCCTCGTGTTCTGTCATATAGCCGCTATAGCCACTGTGATACTTGTCCATAAGGGTCCATGTGCTCAAATAGTACATACTTTGGCCCCAAAGTACCTATATAGGGACTACTTTCAGGCCAAAGTATACATTACTTGGGCACATGGACCCTTAGGGTGTAGCTCCATGCACGAGATTGAGACCCTGGTCCAGCCTTGTAGGCCCAATCCAGTATGGGCCACGAACCGTACCAAGATGGGCCTTTCACCCGAGCTTCGGCTGAAAAGCAAAGGCGTGGTAGCAGTGTCAGTGTAGCATTCAACTGCGCATGCACGGCCGCACCTCAGCTCACCATGTCTTCTGTCATGTTCCGTTAGATTGTATTATATTGTTGTATCTTGTAGTTATGTTATATCAGATTATATTGTGCCAATATACAAATGCATGTGTATGAACACACACACACATATATATATATATATATACATATGTCTATATATGTATATATATATATATACTGTTACTGCAAAAAGAAAGCACATCAGAAGAAACATTCGAGCCCCAGACTGGCAAGTTGGAACATGCGAGCCGAACCTGTAAATCGATCCTTTACACAGAAGCAGCGAGCAAAGGATCCTTTCCTTTACTGTCTTAGCGGCATTAGTAGTATTTGGTCTACGAAAGTATGAAGATAGGTGGGGTTTTCAAGTCTATTTTATCGTTTTCTCTCGCTTGCTCTCGCTCCTCCTTTGTCTCTCGATCTTCCTCTCTCTCTCTCTCTCTGTTTGTCTCTCTGTCTCTCTCTCTGTGTCTCTCTTCCTTGCTCCCTGCTTGATAGATACGTGCTGGGTCTATTGGCCCTACGGCTTAATCCTAGAACAACCCAAGCGGAGAAACAGCAAGTCGACATCCCAAGCATTGAACGACACCCCGAATCCCAAAACCTTAAACCCGCCAAGCGCAAATTCCAATCCTAAGATGTGACGGGAGGCTAAAGACAGCAGGCGAAGACTCCCTTGTATAGAACCCGACATCGTGAGATCCTGATTCGACTGGACCCCTAAATCAGGTCCTATTAGCTACAGTGTAAAGAGAAGAAGCCCCATATCCTACAGCCGTCTATGGCTCCGATATCCCCCCCCCTCTTCGTGCGGTTTAGGATTCGTTAGGGTTTTGTAACACTTTCGGGCCTCGGTCAAAATTTCGTTGAAATTGCGCTTTCTGCTCACAGCGGGCCGGGGCCTGGTGCCGCCATGGAGGTCGAAACCTCCTAAGGCCCAGGGCTCAGGTGTTTAGGGCTTACGGCGTCTTAAGCGGTTTTTGCCAAGCTTGCATCGAGGTTTTGGGTTCGTGTTGTGTTGACGCGTTTGGGGGCAGAAGAGTTTGTCTTACAGTTTTAAGGTTTGACACTGAGGGTTGGCTTGCTCATCACCGGCGTAGGTTGGATGTGGGGAATTGTCTAGACTTCCTGGGCATGCAGTCAATGCAGAAGTCCTAGTCTCTGTGAGTGGTTATTATTCCAATCTGCTGGATTGTACCTGAGCCCAAAATCTGAAGAAGTGATGGCTGTTGATACCGGGCTTTGCAAAACCAACCGTTCTCGATTTCGGCATGTTCATCAGCGCAACGCCAAGTATCAAGCGCTTGGGGCGCGACTTCCCAAAGTTGTTCTGTGCCAGGGGGTGAGGTTGATCGGTGCACCATGTCTGTGCTTTGTTGCAGGGGAAGGCTACAGATCATTGAGGCTATGATGGTTTCTGGAGGTGTTTTAAGTGTTTTGGGGTGCTCATCCTGTGATCCTGGGCTG